CAATCTTTTTTATACTCGTTAATTTTACATTCTAATATTTGATTAAAAAGCTCTTTCCTAGTATTTGCAAAACAGTCTGAATAGTCAAACATTTGAATGAAATTAAAACAATTCTTGAGCAATCTAGAAGTTAAAAATTAACAAAATCGTAGCTTAACTTATTTTTAATTTAAAAATTCCAGAGCTGTTCGAAGCAGTGATGAATTGAAGCAAAAACGGGAAACATGTCAGATCAATTATCTATTTAGTATGGAATTAAAATAGTTTTAAGACGCTCATATCGACGAAAAGATGTTGTATTTCAAAATGCTTGGCATTTTCTCAAAACTAAGTTAATAAAGAATTGCATTTAACACTAGACAGTAATAAATCAAATGCAAAACAAGTGCAGCTGTGATGTGAATTGGAGTGTGTAGTGCAGCTCAGCTGTATTGTAAATACATCTCAAAGTAAGGACTGAAATAAATGCAAGTGTAATACATTAAATTTCTAAGAAACTGAACTGACAATCTGAGATACTATTTTTTTTTTCAAAGAGGTAATTTTCATTTAATGGATAGGTTAAAAATTCTCAGAGCAATCTGTCCAAGGTTTACAAATGGTCAATTTTACATCAACTGAATTTCATCCATTTTTGTGAAGCTTCGAAGTATAACCACGAGTTAATTATGGATGAAAGAAAATTTTAAAATAGGAATGGACTTCATAAAAGCGCTATACATTAGGCAAAGAAGGATTTGTAAACATTTGATAACTTATTGGTTATTTTCTAATATTGTTTTAGTATAATATTTAACAATACTGACACAAATTTAAACAATGATATAATTTTTAAAGTAAAAAAAGATCTCGGTCAATCTAAAATCTTTTTTATATTTGGTAGAATTTTTACTTTCGAATATTTGGTTAAAGAGCTCTTTCCCAGTATTTACGATACTGTCTGAATAGTCAAACATTTGAATGAAATTAAAACAATTCTTGAGCAATCTAGAAGTTAAAAATTAACAAAATCGTAGCTTAACTTATTTTTAATTTAAAAATTCCAGAGCTGTTCGAAGCAGTGATGAATTGAAGCAAAAAAGGGAAACATGTCAGATCAATTATCTATTTAGTATGGAATTAAAATAGTTTTAAGACGCTCATATCGATGAAAAGATGTTGCATTTCAAAATGCTTGGCATTTTCTCAAAACTAAGTTAATAAAGAATTGCATTTCACACTAGTCCGTAATAAATCAAATGCAAAACAAGTGCAGCTGAGCTGTACATTGCAATGTGTAGTGTTTTCTGATAAAAATACATCTCGACGTAACGATTGAAATAAATGCACATTAAATTTCTAAGAGGCCAATGATTTGAGATGGCGTTTTATTTCTAAGAGCGAATTTTAATTTGATGCATATGTGAGAATTCACAGAACAATCTTCCAAAATTTAAAAATGTTCAAAATTAATCAACTGAATTTCCTCTAATTTATAAAGCTTATAAGATTAGGTCCTTATGTTATTCATTATTTAGGCAGGAAAATTTCAAAATAGGGCGGGACTTTCTAAATGCAATATACAATATGTAAAGATTTGTTTGTAAGGATTTGAAAGCTGATTGGCTAATTCCTAATATTGCTTTAGTATAAATAATTAATATACTGACGTGCAAAACCTAAACAACGATATAATTTATGAGCAGGCAGTCACGAAATTATAGGAAAAGCATACTGTGATCAATATAACTAACATCCTTTTCAATAGAAAGGTAATTCGTATACAGATATTAAAAGCAAGAAGCCACAGATGATGTAAGGAATAGCCAACTATTTGCTGTCAGTGTGCATTTTGCATAGAATGGAGGTGTAGAGTGCTATTAAAGTCATTCCTTGTAGGCTCAAGTGAGTGCGTAGTATGTGCAGTTAGATGAATTAACACGAATTAATAAACCATCTAGATGACTTAACGTGAGTTAATGTACCATCTAGATGACTTAACATGGGTTAGAGCAAGTTTGAAAACTGACGTAGTGTCACCAGTGTAATCGAAAAATTTTTTAATATTATTCGTAACATATTAATGAATAATTTCATTTTTTTCGAAAATTTAGGTTTCTTAGGTTTGCTTCCTGATTACCACATTTTCATTGTCATCCTTCGGCTGGCAGGGTTAGTCACATATTTTCCATACACACCGCCACAATTTTCATATTGCATATTACATTTATGTATAATAACACTTATTTATGTTTAATAATAACACTTATTTAAATGTTATTATGCATTCAAGTAATCCATGTAATTATGTTATTGTTTTTGTGTTATTCCTGGAGTCTTCAACGTTCTTTCTAGATTGCATGGAATATTTGATGAAATGGTATGCTGAAGCGAATGGGGTGGGTCAAAGATCCCAAGGAATGAATGTCATATCAATAGAATCGCGTCATCTTTATAGAAGAGAATCTTCTTAGTGCCAAAAAGAATTTTTAAAAGTATCATATGCTGGGTGTTAGGTGAATGGATTTATACCATTAATGTTGAGGGTAAGAAACCATTACGGTAGTTCTTGCGTGTTCAAAAGAGTCATCATAATGAATGGCGAACTGAACGCCAAATGTTTGACGGAGATACATTTCCAGAAGATCGCTTTTGTTAGCAAGCGATCATTCCCCATACGCTCACATTCCAATATATCATTAGCGTAAAGTTCTTTTCTATGAAAGGAAACGCTAAGGAAAAGCGGCAGGGGACACGTACTGTCAAAGGGCTTTTAATAAGGAGGATATCACTGGAATGTATTATCTTAAGTGCTCTCCAGATTTAAATTCCATGAAATATTTGGATAGAATGCGATAGAGAGATATATTTCGGAGAATATACGTTTAGAGAGATACTTTCATACGTTCGGATTTCGGTTTATTTTATACAAAGTAACGCTCTTAAATTCCCCAGAGATCATGAAATATAGAAACATATGGACGTTAAGAAATATAAACAAATATGCCCGCTGAGACTGATCTTGCCTCGACATCTGTTGGATAATGTGGTATCCAGTATGGTGGTATCCAGTAAACAACCATTGTAGCTAAGGAGCGTCATATCACTTACATACATACATATTTTTGTTGTTGTGCATGTAAAAATTAGCCACATTATTCTTCCAAATAAGTTTTTTTCTCATCGCTACTGTATATGTTTATTTATTTTTGCATTAGTTAACCTTTATACATCTTTCAAATATTATTCTAAATAAGTGTTACGATGTATTCATGTAACACATGTAATTATGTTGTTGTTTTTTTTTCATCCCGAAGACTTCAAAGAGCTTTCAAAACCGCAAATAATAATGGATGAAAAGGGTACGTTGATAGAGAAGTCAGATGAAAATGGAAAATGAAATTTTTTTTTATGTCACGAATTCTTAAAGAAACGACTTTGTCCCATACTGTTAAATTTAGAAAAAAAAAATACGTGGAGCTGCAACTGGAGAGCTCATAATTCAAAAGTATGATTTTTTTATGGAGGAAATTTCTGACTTAAGCATTTAATAGGCTCTTAGACAAAGAAGGCATGAACACTTCCTGATATCTCTTCAAGAATCGAATTAAGTTTCTTCATTCCAGATCTGGACACACTAAAGACTAGGACACTCCAGGATCGATCAGATAAGTGCATGTGTTAAAATGATACAAAAACAATTGCATACCTTTGTGTACTTTTCCAAAGTATCCTTCACCAATCTCTTCCAATAGTACCACACTGTCTGGCGGTATCTGCAGTTGCCTCATGCCCAACAATGGCGTGTCTAGGGAAGTTGAATAGTAGTTTGGATTGGAGATGTACTGTTGCATGCACTTGCTGAGTGAGATGGCCGCTGCGTTTCGTCTTCTTGCGGACCTCAGCCACCAGCAGAAGTTGCCCTTGTGTTTCTTGTAGACAAACGCAATGAAGCTACCCATGCTAAGCACGATGAACGCGAATACGCAAGCACCAATGATAGCGGAGGAACTATCGTACCCGGCCGATGAATGGTAGGTGATGTTCGATGGCTCATTCAGTTGAGTGTTGTTCTGAAACGAAATGCAGATATGTAGTTCAAGTTTTGAAATTGCAAAAGTATAATTATTATGTGTATAGATGATAAAAATATGGAGATATATGTTTTTAGCATAAACATTTTATATTTTCATAGATGGAATCTTCATAACGATTGAATAGTAAGTAGAGTAAAGATTAATTGCTGTTTAATCCAACGTTTTCTTAATAAATAAATATAATAATTTTTATTTATTTGATTAATAAAATGAAACAATTCATAGATTTAAAAGAAAATTTAACGAAGTGAGTGGGTGGGTGGTTCCTTGGTGAATGGTTCAAAGTATGGATTCGTTAAATTTAACAAAAATTATTTAAAGATCTTCTTATTAAATATTTTTATATAAAGTGAATGGAATATATCATTAATATTTAGTATATATCCATTTTTCCTGTACAGTACAAACTCGCCAAACGATTAAAATAATATTACATGATAAAAAATTTATATGCTGTTTTCAAATGTCTGATATTTTAATCTAAGGTTATCTGCTATTGGTAAAGCAAATATGAAGCAAATTAAACATTATCCAGGGAGCATTATGGAGATCTACTACACTTCAAACATCATCTATTATTTGCTGTTGAAATTGTTGAAATTGAACAGCAAACAAAAGATAAGCACTTAAGATGTTTGTGTCCTCCTTTCAGTCTTCATTAGCCAAATGAAAAGGCCTTAAATTCTACGGATTTATCATCGACACAGATGCCAAAATTTTAATTTTGGCCCCATTTGACGGTTTTTATACTGAGTTGCTTTATTTTCTAAATATATCTGCTTGATTCAAGTCAAGAAATTTTCATAATTATATTTATTCAATAAAGGCAGTAACAGATTCACATAAATTTCGATTGGAATTGGCTGTTTCGTTTAATCTTCAGCATGTCATTGAATTAATAATACGAGTACATTTTTGAAAGCCAACGGCCATACCATGCTGAATATACCGGTTCTCGTTAGATCACCGAAGTCAAGCATCATTGGGTGCGGTCAGTACTAGCTGGTACCACCTGGGAACACCGCGTGCCGTTGGCATTCACAAATTTGGGATCTGAATGACCGAGTGTCTAGCGCTCTGGTGCTCAGTGCCACAGGTTTCGGGTTCGAATCCCGGCAGTGCCATGGATGTTTGTAGTGGTTCGGAATCCACTTTACGCTGTAGGTCTCGGTCTCCTATGACTGTAAGAGCGTCACGGAGCCAAAGTCAGACTTCTACCTACGGTTGCTCCATCACAACAGAGGCTGCTTCCTTCCCCTTCAATCATGAGTACGTATGGGCTCGTGGGCTTGGCCAGTCAAGGGGGACAAGAAACAACAACAACAAACACATTTTTGAATGAAGTATACTAAAATGTGAATATGAAATAAAAGAAAACGTATCAAAAATATTGCATGAAATAAAAGATTCTGAGGGGTTTCGGTTTTCTGTTTATCCGAAAAAAATTATTAAATATTTGTTAACATTTATCAAAATGATCAAACATATATTAAAGAATTGTGGCATTTAAAAAAAATAAAAAATTTATACAAAGAATATCAATTAATTTCATGATTCTCTGTCAATAAAAACAAATGTAAAGTAAACAAAACAAGTAAAGTAAAGTAAAACAAATGTAAATGTAAACAATTTTCTATTTTTTTCGAATTATAATATTAAATACTTAATAAAATAAAATTTTTCAATTCATTTTTTTTTCTTCTAAAACTATTTCTCTATAATATATTTTTCATATCGAAGTTAAGAATATCAACTTTATTAGATTTCTTTACATAAAATGTGTTATTTTAACGTTTACTTTTTTTTAAAGTACAAATCAAGTAATATTTAAAGCTAAATATTACTTGATTAAAAATAAGCTAAATATTACTTAATTTTAAATATAGGAGTTGTTTAATAATTTTTACCATAACGTGACAAAATTGAAATTTTTATATAATTATCAATTTCAAATTAAATATCTCAGTTAGTTACTTAATACAAAATCTGAAAATTGCACACCTCAAAGTACACAGCATAGATAACTAATACTTTATTGCACATCTCCTGTAAGACAATCCAGTTACAACATGGACCACTTGGGAAAATGACCTTTGATGTACGTGCTAAAAATTAGCGAAATCACGTAAATCAAAGATAAAAACCGGAGCAAGTATACAGAAAAAGAATAAACATAGAGCAAGTAATAGACATAGACGCAGAGAACTTGTTGTTGAGTTGGTTGAAGTATCGCTGAGTGGCTTCGTTGATTTTGGGAAAAGTTATCGTGGATCTTGACTACTTGAAAAAGAGGTCTCAGTGATCCTAGAAATTTTTAAGACGTTGTAAATGTTCGCCATTTCAATTTTAATCTATAAATCTATTATTTTTAATCCATTAATCTATCATCTATAAATAATTAATCTTTTGTGTTTATGCTGATTGAGTAGTACTATCGTTGTAGATTAGTAATTTCTGATCAATACATGTTATTGAATTTGTTCAAGTTATTGATTTAGAGAAGTTCCTTGTGTCGTATAGACAGAAGGTTCCTTTTAATACATAAATATTTAATTTTAATTTTTGAGGAGTCAAAATATACAGATTTCCAAACTACAAATTATGACAGAAACTAAAATTGAAATTGAAATTTAAAAAAAAAATATCAATTTCCAAATTAAATATCTCAGTTAGTTACTTAATACAAAATCTTAAAATTGCACACTTCAAAGTACAGTATAGATAACAACTATTGCACATCTCCTGTAAGACAATCCAGTTACAACACGGCCCACTTGGGAAAATTACCTTTGATGTACGTGCTAAATCTAGCCAAATCAAAGATAAAAGCTAGAGCAAGTGTATAGAGGCGAATAAATACAGAGCAAATAAGAGACATAGACGCAGAGAACGTGTTGTTCAGCTGGTTGAAGTGCCAAGTTAAGAGGGCTCATTGATTTGGGGTTATCAAGATCTTGACGACTTGAAGGAGGTCTCTAGATCTTAAAGATTTTAAGACGTTGTAGATCAGGGTGGCCGACCCGCGGCTTGTCTTGAATATTTTTCCGGCCCGTGAGATTTATCACACTTACAAAATATATTTATTTTAATTATATTAATAAATATAATTTAATAATAAAATAATTTAATTCAATAATTAAATTATATTCTGCGAACTCATGATGCGCGCATATCTTGAAACATCTGATATGACAAGTTCTATGCTTCACTTTGTGGTCTCAGTGACCAAGCCCCGATACGCACAGTTGATTGCTGAAGATTTTAGCGCTTTTTGGTTCAACTTACACCGGCGAATTTTTTTTTTCCCGAAAATAAACTGACCAAACACAAAACAAGCTCAAACATAACGGACGCTAACCTGCAACACCTTATGACATGATGTGCAAATACTCAAATGAGATCGATTTGCAAAAAGCTAAGTGAAAGAGTGGAGAAACAAATATCGTAACTTGAAAATAAAAACATTTTTTAATGATTTCATTTTTTTTTATTTCATCTGTATTTATATATTTATTATATTTCATTTTTAGTGTTATATATACTTACAATTTAAATTTAGTATCATTATTATTATATTATCTAAGTTTCTGTATGTAAGAATAATAGTAATAACTCATTATATTTCAATTTTTTATTCCAAAATAATGTCTATAGTGTGTCTAAATCTAATGTGGTGATGTATACTTTATAATCGGCCAGCGGAGTTATGGTGCATTTTCCAAAGTGGCCTTGCAAGATCATTTGGGTCACCCACCCATTGTTGTAGATGTTCATTGCCACTTTAACCTAATCATGTGTACATAATTATTTTTTTCGTGTTTATGCTGGTTGAAAAGTGCTATTGTTGTAGGTTAGTAATTTCTAATAAATGTGTGTAATGGAATTTGTTCAAGTTATTGAATTAGAAAAGTTACTTGTGTACAGGCAACAGGTTCCTTTTACCGATACATGAATATTTAATTTTAATTTGAGGTGTCAAAATATACAGATTTCCAAAATACAGATTATGATAGATATACTACAGACCGTTTGGATAATTTTGAAAATTTGGAATTGAACTTAACAATGCTATCAATACACATACATTTTCATACAGGAATACAAATGATAAAAAAAATTACATTCAAAACTAATGCAAAAAATTTATAATAATACGCAAATTAACTAAATTCTGTGTGTCAGAGTTTATATCCTACCATACGATTGTTAAATTAAGACCTTAATGTTAAAACAAAAGCATGTGTTATACTTATCATAAATGTTTTTAGTGCTTTTAATTATTAATCACACAAATGTCATCATCTAATTTAACCATTTTGGCAATAACATCTATAATTTGACCATTTTGAAATTGTTTTTGAAATAACTTTTTTGTTAGATAATTAATAAACAAATTTATTGCATTTTTGTAACTACAACAGTTTTGTAACTACAAAAATTAATTTTCCTGTTAAATCTGCAAAAAAAACAATGTAATCATTTTTTTTTTCAGGAACTGAATTTGGTTTTCTTTTAAAATAATGTGTAATTATGAAAGTTAGTTTTACAGACATTGGAAATTTTCTTTTATATGAGTTGCAATGATTATTCTGTATATAATATGTTTTAACTCACTGTCAAAACTCTATAATGACTTATAATGGTATCAATTCTTTGGAATTCTTGCTATAAGTTTTGAAGGCAATTACGTTTTGGACAATCAATATATTTGTCCATTACTGATAGTAATTATCCGTATTATAAAGAGCACATCAATACACTTGAACCAAGATTTAGTCATTCGAGTCCGATTAGAGTTCTTCACTTCAATAAAAGCACTTCATAGGTTTGAATTTGGTTCCATTAAGATTATAATATCGGTTTTAGTTAGAATACGATGCAAGCCTATAGATTTTAATGATCCAATTAGAAAAAGCAAATAATTAATGCCTTGATAATAGACAGACGGATAATTAGGGATTATCCAATAGATTTTTAAAAGATTGTATGTCTTGTGTTTACTCGACATCTAAATAGCAGTTATTTAAACAACAGAATTTTTGTGCTACTTTTTACTTTTTTTATTTTTTTTTTTTTGTATTTACCTAGTAAAGATATTTAACTTTAAAATTTGTCAATTTTATAAAATTTTCTATTGTGGCGTTGTAAAAAATATGTATGCAACTTTTTAGAAATAATTTAAAATATATAGAGGCAGGAATTTATTCTTTAATGTTACAATATCTCTATGTGAAGATACTTCAACATGTTTAAAAAAAAAAAAAAAATAAAACTTTCAATTAAAAATAGATTATATTTTCGTATTAAATTTTTCAAGAAGTCAAATTAATAAATGCTACATTTAAGTTATCTAAAATATTTCCTTTATCATGGTCCATCTCCTTTCAATGCCCTCCTTTTAAGATAGCTACAAATTCCCTTTATTTTTTATTATGAAATTACTATTTTTAATTTATATTTATAGAATAAAAACAAAATGTATATATTTCTGTAAGATTATAACCAATATTTTGTTAATACAAAATTAACGGATTTTTTTAGTAGTTTAGATGGTTGTACAAATTGTGCAATTTTAAGCAAAACTTTAATACAGCAGTTACCTATGACATAATACTTTAAAAGTCAAACAGATTTTAAAAAACTTCCCTGACAAGACATATTGGATGATAAATACTTTTTTTTTTTTTTAATTTGATTTTTATTGCCTTTGTAAAAAAATTTTGTATTTTATCTAAAAATATTAAATTAAAAAAAAATAATAAAAAACATCCGTCTGTCAATATCCTCACAAGTTAAATGTATTGATACTTTCAATATAAAAATTTAATTAAAAAAACTATGATGAATAAATATTATATAAATTTAAAATTTACCTTATTATGTGATCGGTATTACAATATCATAGTAATAAACTCCTATGAACTGAGAAGATGAACCTTTAAAATCTTTAAATCTCACAAATTGTGTTTGTGAGACAAAAAAAATGGTAGCCACAGCAAACTCAAATGTGGAAAAATAAATTAATATTGTTTT